TTCTCAGTTGATCCAAAAGCGTGAGACCAGCATCCAAAAGCCCCTGGACTTCTATGAAGGAATGCGTTCCTATGTAGAAGGCTTCGGACAGCTGGGCTTTGAATTCTGGTGGGGTGAGCATGACACTTTTTTAATTTTCCAGTCCTTTATAATTTTTGGGGGTTTTGGGGTTGCAAATAAAAATTCATAAACATATAAAAATGGATACTGATATAAAGTTCTCTTGAGCTTTTGGTAACCAAAGCATTTACTTGACAGAACTTTACATTTAACTAAAAAATTATCCTTTGCCTAAATGCTTTTTACAATAGTGTAAAAGTTACAATATTTAAATTTGTGAAACTAATCTTTCCACCCAGGTCTGGATAACATGTATCAGCTGACCAATCCAAAGAAGAACAGCCGCAAGTATGAACTACGTGTAGATCTCAAAGACTTCAACGGCCATTCTGGGTTTGGAGTCTTTACTGATTTCTCCATTAGCAGTGCCAGTGACGGATACAAACTGTACCTTGGGGGGCTCAAAGAGGGAAATATTGGTAAGGTGTTGGGTAGATTAATGGATCAGTTCTTGAGGCTTATTTTGATATTAATAATAACAAAAATAATAATAATAATAATAATTAAAACAGCTGATGTCTCAAAGGGGAATATTGGTAAGATTACTAAAGACTGATTTTCTCTTAACTTTGATGGCTTAATTCAGTATTATCCAGGGAAAGAACTTGAACCACTTCATGGCTAATTTATAATCACATCTACAGCTAATTTAAAGTCAGTTTTCAAAACTTTTCTTCAACTTTTTAGGTGACTCCTTCATTGGTTCCAGAAACATGACCTTCAGCACCAGAGATCGCGACCACAACAAAATGGCTACCAAACATCACGGTGGATGGTGGTACAGCAACGACAGCCGTTCCAACCTCAATGGGAACGGGATGCGCCATGGCCCCTACTACTCGATTGTCCCTGACGGTGTCTACTGGAAGTCATTCCGCGGGGTATATTATTCCTTGGAAGCCACAAAAATGGCTGTCAGACCCATGCATATGCCAAAGACCACCTCCTCCACCAAGAGAACAACAAAGAGCACGACAACTTCTACAACAAAAAGTACTACGACTTCGACGACCAAAACAACAACCAAGACGACAACGACCACTCCCAAGTCAACTTCGACCACTCACAAGATGCCAACAACAACTCGCAAACACGATGATAGTGGTGCCCATGGATTCCTTCCATTTGATTACTAACTAAAACATTTCATGAAGAATAGTATAAACTTATTATGCCAGGCGGTCACCATCTACACCCAGAACAAGTTTCTGAATATGAACAAACATGGTTCAGACAACAGACATGTAAAATTTTTGATACAGTCACTATTTTATTATGCCATTAGTCATGTCAACTAATATCAGTGACCAGTTGTTTTCTTTTTAACTTTGTGAGTCTACCATATATGTCAGACTTAAAATTTAATCTCAGCTTTTTCAAAAAATCTTTTTATTGCAAATGACCATATGATAATATGCGATGTCTGGGTCAAACATGTAAGCAGGTATTCATAGTTGTTACAGAAGTGAGAAATTTATTGGATAAACTTCCAATTCACAATTCACCTTATTACTCCCGCAATATGACAAGCATTTTTCTAGAATTTGCTATGGGTTGTGGCAAAGGCAACACTATGATATCTATTTTGAATGCAACAGCACAACTGATCAAAATGCCTTTGTGTTGTTAATCTAAACATTATCTCGTACTATCATTGCTAACAGAATATTTCGATTCAGAATCAAACTATTATTCAGAATGATAAGATTACTGCTAAATATGTTTGCTGTTTATTCATAATCTTCTGGGAGGAGAGAGGGAGGTACTAAATACCTGATTTTTGTGCTGACTCAAAACATATTTTTGACAGAAACGTTATCTCATCTCCACAATGCAATCAATAATCACCATAACAGAATTAATTATAAAGCATTTATAATCAAAAGCATTTTGCATGATATGCAAACAGTGACAGCAATTCATATCTATAGATCATATCTACGTCAACTTTCTTATCAGTGGCTGCTTTTCTGAAGCATCACGTTTTCAGGTGCTTCGCGTGCACGCTCACACACCCACACAAACATGTTATCCAAATTCTGCAGCGTTCTTCACATTTATCAGGCAACAGATTACCAACAGCATCAAAGCAATTGTTATGACAAAAAACACTTAATCCTTATCAAACACACACAAACACACATGCACATAAAAACACACACACAGACAATGGTATTCTGTGCAAACTTATTCAAATGAAAAATATGCTACACTCAACATCTGCTTTTTTTTCCCATTTGCTATCGAATTGGTGAGAAAAATGATAATTTTAATATTTGAATATTAGTGCCAAACACTGAAAACAGTCAATTTGGACATTTATTTTCAGTAATTTCGCTCATCAAAGAAAAATTGAACTCACCATCAGAGTCTTCTGCTTGCCACACTGGGTGTCTCTGGAAATATAATGGTGTACGTCTTGGGTATTTTCTTGTGTATGTTGTTTAAATCAAATTGTTTGGGGATGTGTGGCTCATTCAAACCAGTGAACTGTTAACAAATAATCTCAACGTCAAATTGACTTGATCATTTTTTTCCAAAGTTCCATAGTTTTGATCAAAAGTTTTAAATTGTTTGGAAGCTATGGTTAAAACAAACAATGACTAATGTAATGACAAAGATTGTATTATATCTCATTCATAAATTTGTTTAAATTTTGTAAAAAAAATAATAATAAATAAATAAAGGTAACAAACTTCAGACTTACAGGTCCTGAGACTTGAGAGACACTTTCAAATTCTTCATCTTCATCATCTTCTCCATCGGCAAAGTCACTGGGAGGCTGCCGGGCAAACCGTACAGCTAGAATTGGAAAAGAAAAAAAAAATTCTTAGATTCTTCATAGTGTAAATTCACAATCCTTGATTTTTTTTCCTTTTTAATAATTTTTTAATGGACAAGGATGGACAAGATGAATGAATAAATGATTTTTAGGAAAGCCCAACTATAATTAACAAAAACTTGATTTAGGCAAAAATAACACAATTTCACATTGCTGAGTAGGCTAAAAAACAATGTACTCTAATTTATTTAAAGATTTCACACAAAAAATTTAAATATAACAAAGTCTCTTTGTGATGATTAAGAATCAACAAAGACAAGCTATCCAGCACAAAAAATAACACATTCCTCCTTGGTACCTGGTCAGAAAGCTGAAACAGTTTTTTTAGAAGAATAAGAACAAGCAAAAGCCATAATATCAATAAAATATTTCATAAAAAAAAACAATAATGTCAACTACTGCAAACAGTAAACAAATCAAACAAATTCATTCCCTCTGCATTCTTGGTTATAGTTTCTTCTCACATTTCCTGAACAAAAATCAAAACATGTCTGCAAGAGTCATCCTCAGTTTCAGAAATTACTGACAACTCACCTTTTCTTTCAGCATGCCTTTGTCATTCTCATTAACACCCTGAGTTTCAAAAGCCAATCTACTATCAATTCCCATCTGCCATTTCTATTAACACACAGAGAACATGCTGATAACTGAGGTATTTAGCAGTAATCTCTAAATCTCAGGGTGACAAGAACACAAACATAACAAATCAAATCAGTCAAATAAAAAAAAAAGTCATTAGTAAAACAAAATCAGCTCTCTATATCATTTACTTCTCGCATTTCCCTTAGCGACAAGCTGCGATACATGGCGAGCAGCCTGGAGATTTGTATCAAAGAAATCTGTCACGCCCTCTCCCTCCTCTTCTGATTGGACGATATCCCATGCCTTGGCCTGGAAGCTGCTGGCAGTGGCTCTGTCAGGGGAGGAGGCTATGTCTATAGTTATCTCACTGGTGACTAAAATGTGATGTCAGGCACCAACTATGAACTTAAACTAGTAACAATTACTTTGATTTATGTGTGTGTGTGCATGGAAGGGTACACCTATTCATCAAGACTGCAAACAGAAAAACAGAAACAACAAAGACTCACATTAACATGTGCACAATTTTCATCAATGGCAGTTAATGAAAGTCTTATTTATTTCCTCATTCAATGAAATTGATGAAAGTGGAACTCTGTCTGTTTTTTTCAATTCACTAGCTGAAAGAAAATTAGTGACAACAAAATCAAAGGCTACAACAATGACAATAAGAGAACTACACTAAAGGCAAAACATAATTATAAGATCTTTTAAGCACTAATTTTAAACTAGCTACAACCATCTTACCTGCAGATCCATTTCTCTCAAAGCCAACCTCAGAAAGTTCTTCAAATTTGGACTGTCTTGTAGGTTCACTCATTTCAGTGCCACCTATGACCCTGCAAAAAATAAAATCCTGTTAACTGAGAACATTCTGGGGTTTGTCGAGTTTGTATTTCAAGTTGACCAATGGCTATAATTAAAGCAGTGAATGATATAAATAATTTACCATAAAATGTGCAATATATCTAAAGAAAAATGTTTGTAGTTTCAAAATCTATAGAAGTTGAATTGGAAATCCATATTAATGAGCAGTGGCATACGTCTCATATATGCATTTACACTACTCTTCAGGAAGACATACATCTAATCATGCTAAATATGCATGTCAAATCTGTCTTTTATTATTATACACATTGCTGGCTCATATTGTATCTATCATTTACCTAGCACATCTGGCACATATACTGACTCTTACTTGAGGCTCTGCTTCAACTGTCTTCATTGTCTAGAATATTAAATATATACCATTATAATTAATAACACTTACAATATTAAATGTTTAGTGTGATGGATGATTATTTCATTAGTGCTTAAATTTCTCACACATTCACTCATCAATGCTATTACAATGCAACTGCTGAATATTACTCAAAAAGATCTAAAACAGAACATCAGCTGTTATTTTAATCCAAGTCTAAGGCTCTCGGGCACACAATGATTTAAATGTAGGAGAAAATTACTTCCCCCCCCCCCCCAGGAAAAACCATTTTGGCATATTAATCCTGTGCATAGTGCCTTAAAATATTTCCAGAAATATTTCAATACCACAAAACATCTAAATCATTCATACATAAATTAATATAATTTTTACTAATAAAAAGTACTTCTTCCTTTTTAAAAAAATCAACACACTCTACCTTGCTGATCCTGACTCCAGNAGGAAAAATCATTTTGGCATATTAATCCTGTGCAAAGTGCCTTAAAATATTTCCAGAAATATTTCAATACCACAAAACATCTAAATCATTCATATATAAATTAATATTATTTTTACTAATAAAAAGTACTTCTTCCTTTTTAAAAAATCAACACACTCTACCTTGCTGATCCTGACTCCAGACGTCTTCACACCAGTTATACCTTCATTCTTCAGATCTTCAGGGTTCTCTGATTAACATACAAACATGAAAATTGAGTCAAAAATATATAGCATGTTTATTAAAATGAATCCGTATACTATTTTTCCTTCAAAGTCGATGTGGTTCTTAGGAGAATCAAAATAAAGAAGATTAACTTATTTTCTGGCTCACAACTTAACTAATACACATCAAATTAAAACTGGCAAAAAGAACTTATCACCACAGAGATCTAAAAAGTAAAAATTGATCTTCAAAAAAAAAAAAAAAAAAATTAACAAACAACAGTCCATCACAAAAAAGGGTCTGAAGCATAGGCTTTTTCTGTATTGTTTCTTGCTTTTTATAAGCTTGTAGAGTGCTACATTTATGGAAACTACAACTGATCCACATTTGGTCAACAAAGACAAAACATTCTGGTCTTAAAGTTCAAACCAACAGAATTTTTTTTTAAATTCATATTTCTTACCCAGCACTTCAATGGCCTCATCATAATCATCGTCCTCGCCCGGATAACCAGAGTCTTGAGACTGAGCATCTTCTTTCTCCTTTTTAATGTACTTCTCCAAGTCTTTCTTGTGTTGTTCTGAAGCAAATTTTGGACCCTTACGCTTGCTGCTGGTTGATCTAGAATAATTAGTGATACAGTAAAAAATTAAATTGTAGATTATGATGTATCCAGTGGTTGTTTTCAATCAAATGAAAAAGAAAAATTGATTCATCAAACATGTTGGATGCATTGAGCGCAAAATATGAATGCTTGTGTAATTTTTTAAATAGAGGATAAGGTTGAGCCAATTACATAGTTTGAGAAACAATATCAGGTTATTATAATGATTATTTTAAAATAAATGAAAAATAGGCTTTGGAATGTAATTTGCAATGCATTTTGACATTTATGAAGAACTTCAGTAAATGCATTCAGTCATTTGGCAAAAGAAAAAAATCATGATCGACAACAGTAATTGACATTTTGAGAAAGAAGTCATTACCAAAGCATTCCTGGATAAAGTACTCTACTGTGAAATCCTGAAATGTTATACCCACACTGCACTGCTTTCTGTTTCTGCCTCCTCGCGTTCTCTGGGATCACTGCGTATTGACCTCCCAACTGACAGCTCTGCAGCTAATTCTTCCTCCTCTGTCATTGGTTTTCTGTATGGCCCAGTGTAGCCTCCACTGCTGTAGACCATGTCTTCTCCTTCCTGAAATGTGGAATACTAGCCCAATGAAGGAAAAGACTACCAAGAAATACAAATACAAAGGGCAAAATTACTGGGAAAACTTATATTCAGAGTGTCACTATATTTTAGTGCCATATTTTCAGTCTATAAACCCTTTGGTTTTTTACCACCATGAAGCACTCACCCCTAACATGACACTTCTCCACCCACTCTCTCTTTTCTTGGCCTCTGCCTCCTCTCTTTCTTCCTCATCCCTAACACGCTGGTAAGCTTTTCCTCCTTTTGTGATTTCCCAAAGCTCATCAAAGTCAGCTGTAGGAACTTTGTTGTCTGTATTCCACTGTTTTCTTGGTGCTAAAATAACCAATTGTAAAATTATTCAAATTTTTATCTTTTTTATACTGGGAGGCTTGCAGGCATCAAGGGAGAGGAGAAAAATTGAGCCTGTGTCAAATTAAAGGAGCCTTAGGGTTAAAATTATCATCCTTTAAAATATGTATATATGTTACCACTGGCATAAATTTTAAGTACGAATACATCTGCTTTGATAAATCCTGAGCCAGACCTGTAAATGAAACTGGAAATATTTGTGGTTCTTTCAAGTTACTGCAGATCCAAAACATTTTCCAAGATGTAATCATTTCATGATATTGAGGGCACAGGTCAGTAATATGATTGTTTTCTTTCTTCTTATTACATATTATGTGTTTGGAAATTAACGTTGAAGAAATGATGACTAAAAATTATGTACATTTATGTACATAATTTGAAATGTAATTTACAACTCACATAAGCACACTGAGTTTGCAATTGTTGCCACTCAGCTTGGGCTGCTTATTATGTATATCACATATTTCATTGAAGCTGCCAACTTCACTTTTGCATGATCCCCCCCCCCCCAAAAAAAAAGTGTACACAGGGTGCATGCTGTTAATTCACATTTTAACTACTTTTATGGGATCAGTCAAGTAAACCATGAATGCCATCTAAAGGTTAAAAGTTTTCTAGCTTTTACTTCATGATTAAGTCTCTTTTCCTCATTAATAAGGCAATCCTGGAGAAGATCCCATTAATAAGCATTTCATAGGCAGCTAAACCATGCAGAAATTGTTATTCATTTTGTGACCATTACCCTCATAAGACTATTTGTTAGTCACTAAACCTTCCATGCAAGTAACCTGAACTCAAGGATTGTAATGCCATGAATGGTTTGAATGGTTTTGGATAATGGTATACCTTGGTGAATATAAGTCAGAAAACTGTTTTAATTTTTAGAAAATAAGTCTAGTGTGAATTGCATGAAAATGTGTGTTCTCCATCCAAAGCATGCAGAAATTATTATTAATCCTCTGTGAGTATAATCCTCACTAATCTCTCATTTGTTAGTCATTAATGCCTCCATGCCAGTCACCTGATGGAGCTTTCACAAATTCCTCAAACTCTGAGGACTGTGTCCTTGACCTTTGAGTGACCTTTGACCTTGGACTAAGTTGAACCTTGCTGCACTTTATAACTGAAAGTTGGTATTTATATTTGAGCTTGTCAACCGTAAGGAAATCAAGCTCTTAACATGGCACTGAAAACTGAGTAAGATGTCTCTTTTTAAATTACTTTTTATCGCTAATCCATGTGTACAACCTTTCATTTCGATTCTTTATATCTTCTGTAGATTAAGTATTCGATAATACTTAAAATCAATATATATTTTATAATTTTTGAATTGCGGGAAATTATCTTACCTGGTTTTACATTCTCTCCATCTCCTCCTGCAGCAGCAAGAGCAGGTTTCTTTGGTTTCAACCTCTTGCTATGACTCAACCAAGGTTTTTCATAGTCTCTCTGCTTGTCTTCAGTCACAGCACCATCTATAGTACATACAAATACCAAGATTACTCTAGCTAAAATTTTCTTTTAGCTTCAAATAAAAAAGCAGATTTTTTTCTAGCATACTTAACTGTTTTTGTATGAAAAAAATATTTACCTACAATTAACTGGTCAACTATAATAATATCAAAACTCAGGCCTAATGTATCTGCTAAACTAAATACAAAACAGTCTTTGTTTGTCTTCTTAGGTGTGGTATATTATGTTAAGTAACAATGAATATAAATGCTCACCAGGAGGAGACTGCGCCCAAGAAGCTGCAGAAGCTGGCATGCTTTTTCTGCTTAATTCTGGGGTGCTTTTCTTGCTATGGCCTACAATTTTATACACCGACATACAATTTTATAAATAATATTACAAATAATGTATACTTATTCATGTATAGAAGAGGTATCCAATCACCAATTATATAATTCTACAAATTGTAGAAATAAATGTGTTTACAAATGCTATAATGTTAAAAACTGCTTTTGTAAAAGCAATACATCTAAAGTACACAAAACTTAAAGAGTACAAGCATAATTTTTAATCTAATTTGATAATGTATTTGAAATAATCTTTAAATTAAATAAATTCAAAATGCTGTCCATATATGATCAATTTTCTTTATCTCCATTAACATGACTCACTGAATAGCTCTGTGGTACTTTTTCTGGTGGGTGTGGGTCCTTTGGCTCCATCTTCAGCCTACAAAAAACAAAACAATTACAAATACTTTTTTAATTTTCCACAACATACAAGCAACACAATAAACTTAAACATTATGGGAGCAAATTATCAGACATTACAGTTTTGTTGTTGTACTAATCTATGTGCGTACAAGCCTATAGCCAACAATTTCAAACAAATGAGTGCTCTTTTTTCTGAAAATGTGGATCATTAATGCATAAACCAAAATAATTTTTGTTTTATAGCCAAATGGGTTGGTTGTTAGAAACTCCAGAACCTCCCCTGCCAATGATCCTGATGCACAGGTGTGTGTCTGTGTGTGCATGTATGTAAATGTACGTTGTTAGTGCATGCTAGAGATGTATGTGTCCTCACCTCCTTGATAAGTTTATGTTTCTTCTGCAGCACTTTGATCAAGAAATAGATAGGGTCATCTGGCTGGTCATGGATTATCTTGGACATCAACTCCTGTATCAATGAATAGAAATAGTAATCAGTTAGATAATCAGAATGATAGCTAGGCATGGACCAGAGTTGTCAAATTATTTATGACAGACTCCCTTTGCTTGCAGGGTTATTCTTTGGTAAATAAGATGTTAGACAACAGTTAAATGACGGATTTAGAGTATGGTCTTGTTGGCAACTCTGATGAATGGAAGGATGAATGGAAAAAAGTGTACAGATGACAGGGATGATCGAAGAAAAGATCTACAATTGTGAAGTGCACTAGTATTTTATTATTTCAATATTAAATGTTAAAACATTTTAAGCTAAAGATTTGAATGTTGACAACTATAAACAAATGTAGTCACAGCAAAACTGGAAATCGTGTAGGTTTTTAATCAGATCCAGGTTGATCTGGTAGTAGTAGTAATAATTGTAGTACATGTAGTAGGGGATGAAATAACAGTCGAACACATTAAGACGCTGTTGGTGTTACGGCCTTAAAAATTGCACATAAAAAGAGTTCATCAATTCACATAATCCACTTGCCTCAAACAGTGCCCCTATCTTATGACGCTCCAGGTAGAGAGGTATTCTTTGCTGCCCAGACATTTCTGTATTTCATTCAAGATTCAAGATCTCTCTCCCTCTCAAACATTCAGCGACCAGCGCCATCTATGACAAGAAAAGCTTTGTCGGATGTTGTTCATATTAAAGTTAGAGTATTTAAAGCAGAACATTTTTTCGGTGTAAAGATAAATATAAACATTTCAAATTCATTTCTATGGACGTATTTACAAATTATCATACCATATTCACCTCTTGAAAGCAGTAAACTGTGTCTCTTCTTGTCTGTGACGTCAACGTTACTATTGTAGTGACGTAAATGTTTAACAATGGCGGACGGGCTGAAAATACGGATGAGGCTTCTTCACTAATTTTTTCCCACTCATAACTTCACTAAAAGGTAACATTTGAAGTATGTAATCCGAATTAAGTTTAAATGTGTCTTTAAGATATACTTGCAATGGCATTAAGCATAAATTCATTGTCTAGAGTGGGGTAAAAGGTGGTGATTTGAAAAGTGGGTCAAGGAGGGACACTGCGAACGGGCACCTGTTCTGTAGGCAGTGATTCTGCTTTGCTCTCGAATTAGCGAGCAAATCTATGCTAGGACCAGGTAGTTATGCTGACCTCTTTGACTCTCCATGCATATTATGATGTGAATGAATTCGCTTGTATTTAGTTGTCTGAAATATTGCAAAAATCGAGCTCTCACTTTATGTGTTATTGTCATTTCTAAGCCAAATTATACACATTTGATTGACCATGTTACTCGCATCGGACATTTGAACTTCAACAGTCATTCCTTTTGGCATGACAATAAATTGTTTTACATTCCATAGCCAAAGAGTGAAGATTTACATGCAGCTCAAATATTGTTTTACCATTAGCCTTTCAGATTTTGAATTAATTTGCAATCATATCTTTACTTACTTTTTATTTAGCATGTTTGCATCTTTTCTCATTGATCGTGTGATATTTGGCTGTTTTTTGTTTCTGTCTTTTTTATCGCAGATCATTGCAGGTTTGTAAGTATTATAGATATAGCAGTACTAGTAATTAACATTTATAACAGAAATTTAAGATGCTGTTTGTTTCATTTCATTTTCCAAGTATTGACTGCACACTTGAGTGGAAATGGCTGAACAAGGTAATTTAACTATTTCATTTTTGACTGAATGTGAGATTTTAGTTATTTTTACCTTTGTTGGACTGAGAAATAATTGTGTTTTTTTTATTAAGTTTTTCACACCTAACAGCACTTGTTTTGTGCTTACACATGCATATATACATTTAAGCATCAATGTCTCTGATATTATTAATTTTTTTTTATTTAGTTCCAAAAATGAAGTTGAAGAAAGGTGTCAAACCAAAGAAAAAAGCTGAAGAAGATGCAAATGAAGAAGAAGAAGAGCCACAGGTCTGTTATAAACAGATGAATGGTACAAATATTTGGTTTGGGGGGGGGGGGGTGCTGTAGGTGAAATAATTTAGATTTATTTGTTGTGCCAGGTATTTACAAATTAACAACAAAAACAGGGGGTTTTTTCCAAGTTGGGGGTACAAATGCTTCTAAAAATTATTACCTGTAATTTCCCACAAAATTTCAAGGAGTCCAAGCCATTGGTGGGGGTTGGGGTAGAGGGGGTCAGCCCCTTTTGTTGGGAAATAGTTTGTTCTGGGTTAAATTTGATCTAGAAACAAAGTTTTAATGGTAAAGGGTCCACCAGAAAAAACAAACCCCTATAGACCTGTAAAGGCAGTTTTTTGACAGTTTAATTAATACATAAACTAGTACTATGTTTTTACTCAGTGATATATATTTGTAATGATTCATACCCTGGTTGTGATTTTAAAAATGATTCAGAGAAAATAAGTCCTGTTTGTTTGTGTGATTGATTTTTTTTTACTTCAAACACAGGGAGCCTCAGCAGTTGTAGAAGTGGAGGATGAAGAAGTGACACCGAAGATAAAGAAGAAGGGCAAAGGAAAAAAGAAAGGGAAGAAAAGGGCAGTAGAAAGGGAGGAAACTCCACAAGAAAATATTCCAAAGGTCAGTTAAGACTGCACTTAAGTTGGACTTTTATGGCAGATGCATGGTTTTGATGGGATGGGGATTGGTGGAATGAATGGGGGGGGGGAGTTAAGCGTTTTGTTTTGCTTGACATGGAAATAGAGGAGTCCATTAAGCTAACTGGAAGTCAGAAGCACATGTCCTCTATCCCCCTGCACTTCCCCCCCACCCCCCC